AGCGATCATGGCGGCAGGCAGGCATGGCACTGAAACAGTAGTTGAGAACTTACAGTCTTTCCTGCAAGTAAAGTCAAAGGGAATGAGACAAAAACTGGCGCAGGCTTTGAAACCTTAAAGCCCATCCTCCTCAGTGACACACATCTTCCAACAAAAGTACATCTAATCTTTCAAATAGTTTGACAACTAGGGACCAAGTATATGGGGGCCATTCTTATTCCAACCACCACATTCCACTCCTTGGCCACCATAGGCTTATGGCTAAGACATAATACAAAATGCATTTAGTTCAACTTCAAACGTCCCCATACTTTTTCACATTCTCAACACAATTGGAACCAACAGGACAGAAAAAATCTTAAGGGACCTGAGAGCAAACTTTGACTCTTTGTGGTTCAAATTGTGCTGCCACAAATCATAAAATAAATAAGAACATTATTCCTATAATTTAAAGGATTTGGACTGTACCGACAACCTAAATGAATTAGAAGGAGCTTATTCTCCTAGTCCTACAAATAAGAGCCCAGGACAATTAATACCTTGATTTCAGTCTTAGGAATCTTTAAGCAGAGAATCAGCCAATCTCATTCAAAATATTTACCTACAGCACTATAAAAATGAATTGTTTTAAGTTTATAACTGTAATTATGTGTTAAATATTAGATTATACATGTGCGAGCATGCGCGTGCACACGTGCGCGCGCGCGCGCGCACACACACACACAGTAAAACTCTCCAAAAGATATTTTCCTTTGTAACCATAACATAACCGTTAAGATAATAAAATTAGTATTGAATTAACAGCTGGGCATGCTGGCCAACACCTATAATTTCATCACTTGAGAGAGGCTGAGAGATCAGAAATTCAAGGCCATTCTTGGCAGCATAGTAATTTTGAGACCAGTCTGGACTATGTGAGACAATATCTGAAATAAATAAAGAAATGAACAAATAAAATAATTTAAGGAAGAAAATTAATGCTGATACATTACCTCCATCTAAACTCAGACCCAGACCACAATAAGATTTTACCAGCTATTCTAACAAGGTCCTTTTATTTTATTTTTGGTTTTTCAAGACAGGATTTCTCCTCTGTAGACCAGGCTGGCCTCGAACTCACAGAGGTTTGCCTACCTTTGTCTCCTGAGTGCTGGGATTAAAAGTGTGTGGCGCACACATTTAATCCCAGCACTCGGGAGGCAGAAGCAGGCGGATCTCTGTGAGTTCCAGGCCAGCCTGGTCTACAGATCGAGTTGCAGGACAGGCTCTAAAACAATAGAGAGAAACCCTACCTCGAAAAGCAAAACAAACAAACAAACAAACAAAAAAGTGTGTGCCACCAATGCACCAATGCCCGGCAACAAGGTCCTTTTATAGAACAAAGGTCCAGTTGAGAATGACCTGTTGAATTTACTGGTCACATCTTATTATTCTATAGAACTTATTCATATTTCTCTTTCTTTCATGGACTTAGAGTCATTTCTTTTCTGTGATGTCTTTTTTTTTGCGATATTTCATTTCTTTTTGAGAATGTCATACAGTGGTTTTTTTTTTAATATTCACTCATCTCTCTCAACTCTGCTACCATCATCTCCGTTCTCCCACCCCTTCCCACACAACTTTGAGATGACTTCTGTTTTTAGTAGTGCCATTTTAATTTGCCTGACATTTCCTCTTGCATGGATCCAGACTATGTATCTTTGGTATGACCATCAGATTAGTGATGTTGCAATGTTCTCTTTCTATCCTTTCCAGTTGCTCATAACTTGTGTTATTATTTACCATATCTGTTTTTGGTTACTTGTTTAAGGTGGTTGGTGACTTCTAGTCAATTCTAGAACTCCTTTCCTTTTGAAACTAATTATTTTATGGAAATTACTTTGAAGCAATTTAAGTTACCTGCATGTACCCATTTACCTTAATAAAAACCTCATATTTCCTGTCCTCATTCAATGCTTCAGTTCATCATTATTTATTTTAGTGTTAACTCTGTCCTATATTTGGTTTTTAAGTCCTGTTTAGGCTTCTTTCCACAGCCTTTTGGTATGACCCCAGCATTGCTTGAGTGCTTTAATTTTTGGAGCACTGAGTCAGTCCAGGAGCTCTTCTTATCCCACCCACACAATAAACATTTACCCGAAGAGTCTCTATTCCTTTCATTGAATAGTGATGCTTAGATGTTTAGAGGGCAAGATATTGAGGGTAGAAGGTTTTTTTCTTTCTTCCTTCCTTTTTTTGCTGTTGGGAAGTTGTAGCTCTCTCAGTGGAAAGAATTAGACAACATTTGTATGCCAATATAATTTACAGAATCCTGAATTTAAAACCTTTCCAGTACCAGTATATCACAAGTCTGATGATTCAATATACAAAAGTTCTGTATCATGTAGAAAGATACTGGAAGCAATATATTCAATAACCTTCAAGCTATGTATAGGTACTATATGTGAAACAAGTAGACTTTGTGTTTAAGCTTGAGTACCACACACACAAAATATCTCTGCATAGACATAATTATTACCAAATTCAAAGAAATATAAAAACAAAATATTTCTGGTTTTAAGCATTTTCAATAAATGATACTTAGCCTTTCACACAGAGAAAGACATAGCTTTTCACATGTGTATAAATTTACACATATATACCTATATTTCTACCACTGTATACACTGAAAGCCGTGACTTCGTATTGATAACTAACTACAATCTAATGCTATAGAGGATTTTAATTTTTCCTTTTCTGTATTTGTAACTCCCTCACATGACAATGAGAACTGAGGTTTTCATTATCCTTAAAATAGTTCTTTACTTAATCAGTCTTCCTATATGTAACCAACCTCTCATTTGCTGTAATTCCTCGTCTGTTTAGAAATCCCTCCACCATTTCTCCATCCCTAATCTGCAGTCCACCTTGGCCACCTGTGATGCATGAAATATGTGCTCCAGACTCACCTCTTCTTCACATGGCTGCTAAACATATTCCCCCTTCACATTTGGAATGGCCTTTTACATGCACAAGCTTTGATTTACCTTGCTTTGTTTGTTTGCTTTGAGACAGGTCCTCACTGTGTAGCCAAGGTTGGCACAGAGCCCTCAATTCTCCAGAGTGCTGAGATTACATGTACAGTGTACTGCCATATCCAGTTGTTATATGCCAGAATCTTAAACTGCTCAGACCCTGAAATCTTGCTTCATTCTACCACACCCTTTCTCCATGTAGATACCCTGTGCAACCAGCTAGAATTTATTTTCCTTAATTGACTGCATCCTATTAGGAGGCTCCTTAAAAATCTTAGACTCTGACACCCTACAATGAACCACACTCCCAACACTGATGCCTTCCTAACCTTTGTTAGGTGTGCCAAGCTCTCTCCTCTCTTCTGATAAAGATGTGACCTTACTCAGCTGAGAGTGTTGTATCTGAATTGTTCAGCAAGAAAAAGGAAAGATAAAATGAAAACAATGAAACTAAGCAAACAGGCAATTATGATTTACATATGAACCATGTGTCAGTATTTTTTAACTAAAAAGTATAAATAATGTTAGGTTTAAATCAAATTCAAAGGCAAATTTGGCTTATGTGCTATCAAATTGCTCAGAAAATAGCTGTTGATGATAAGGCAACCACACACCTTCACAGCCAACTGAGGATATTCTCTGTGAAATAACTCCACTAAATGAAGCTAAGGTTGCTTCTTTTATTACTTCTTTTTTATTTAAATAACATTTTTTCATTTATTTTGCGTACCAACCAGTTTCCTTCCCTCCTCTCCCCTTTCCTATGTACTCCCTCCCCCATCCACTCCTCCTCCATCTCCATTCAAAAAGGGCTCCCATGGGCCCTGGGCAGAAAGCATGCACATCAAGTTGAGACAGGACAGAGCTTCTTTCCTTATGTCGAGGCGGGGCCAGGTAATCCGGCATGGGGAACAAACAGGTTACCAAAAGTCAGTAAAGCGCCAGGGAAAGGTCTTGCTCTCACTGTTAGAAGCCTTACTAGGAGACCAAGCTACATGATTGTCACACACATGCAGAGGGTTTATAGCATTCAGGCTCCCTGGCTGTTGGTCCATGAGCTCCGGAGAGCTTAAGTCTCTGTGGGTTCTCACATCATGAGCCCCCTGACTAGAACAATCCCCTCCTCCCTTTCTTCTGCAAGACTCTTGAAGCTCAGCGCAGTGGTTGTGGGTCTCTTACTCTGCTTCCATCAGTTACTGGATAAAGTGTCTCTGATGGCAATTAAGGAAGTTAACAATCTGCTTGCTGTAGATGGCCAGTTCAGGCACCCTCTCCATCATTGCTACAAGTCTTAGTTGGGGTCATCCTTGTGAGCTCCTGTGGGTTTCCCTGGCATCAGGTTTCTCCCTAACTCCAAAATGCCCTCCTTCAAGATATCTCTTTTGCTACTATCCCTCTCTATCAGGCCTCCAATCCACTTCTCCACACAGCCTGCCCAACCCACTCCTTCTAGTTCCCATCCCTTCATCCCCCAGCCCCACGCCCAGTTTACCCAGGAGATCCTTTTTACTTCCCCTTCCCAGGAAAATCCATGCAAACCTATTTGGGTCCTCCTTTTTATCTAGTCTCTCTGGTCTAGATAGGTTGGTTATCCTATCCTGTACTCCTAATAATCACCTATGAGTAAATAATTCCATGTTTGTATTTCTAGGTCTGGGTTACCTCACTCAGAATGATGATTTTTTTTTCTAGTTCCATCCATTTGCCTGCAAATTTGATGATGTCATCATGTTTTACAACTGAGTAAATGTACCTCCATTGGGTAAATGTACCTCACTTTCCTTATCCATTCTTCTGTTGAGGGGCCTCTAGGTTGTTTTCGGGTTCTGGCAATTGTGAATAATGCTGCTATGAACATTGTTGAGCAAATGTCCTTGTGGTATGATTGAGCGTCCTTTGGATAAATGTCCAAGAGTGGTATAGCTGGATCTTGAGGTAAATTGACTCCCAATTCTTTCTTTCTTTTTTCTTTTCTTTCTTTTTTTGTTAATAAGCAAAATAATTAAAAACAAAAATATAACAACTTAAATGCAGAGTAGCAGTTACATCAAACTGCTGCTGGAATCCAATGATGCACACCTAAAGTACACGATTCCTCACTGTGAGGCACATGACATACGTGTGTGTGTGTGTGTGTGTGTGTGTGTGTGTAAAAACCATGAAGAATTTGAGAAATGGAAACCACTATGAGGCAGAAAGCATGAACTTTTCATTATGCAATCCCAAAACGCTCTGCTCTTTTCCTTGTCTTTGCCTCTGTATCCTCTGTAGCTCCAGCTCCTGCTGAACTTGTCACAATCCCAAATCGCTCCTTCCTTTTTTTCAGCTTCTCATCATCCTCAGACTTTCTAGAAATGGAAGAGACATTCAAACCCAATCTCTGTGCTCTTTCCTTTAGTTTATCCAGGTTAATCATAGGCTTGGTATCAGATGGCAGACCTTTTGTTGGAACAGAAGAAATCCCAAACCTAGCTGCCCGCGCAGCCTTCTTACTCTCCAAGCTTACAGGTACATTAAATCATTCAGCCCTCTCCTGCATTCTCTCAGTTTGAGGTATTCCAGATGTAATTTTTACCACCTTCTTTTCTGATGCCACATCAACAGCTTTTTCAGGAGGTTCTTCCTCTTTAACAGGAAGTTCTATGGGCTTTGGTTCTTCTTCCTCGGTTTCATCTCCCAGTGCATCTTCTTCATTTGCTTCCTCTTCAGCATGTTCTTCAAGATACGCCTGGAGACTATTGATAAGATCCTGTTTTATTCCCTTGGTCTCTAAACCACGAGCAAGACATTCTTGCTTTAGTTCAGCAAGCTTCAGCTTGTGGAGCTCCACCGTCTCGGTCGCCATCTTGCTGCGCCTCCTCTTTCTTCCTTCCTTTCTTCCTTCCTTCCTTCCTTCCTTCCTTCCTTCCTTCCTTCCTTCCTTCCTTCCTTCCTTCCTTCCTTCCTTCCTTCCTTCCTTTCTTTCTTTCTTTCTTTCTTTCTTTCTTTCTTTCTTTTCAAGACAGGGTTTCTCTGTGGTTTTGGAGGCTGTCCTAGAACCAGCTCTTGTAGACCAGGCTGGTTTCGAACTCACAGATATCCACCTGGCTCTGCCTCCCGAGTGCTGGGATTAAAGGCATGCACCACCACTGCCCTGCAATTGCCAATTTTCTGAGAATCCACTAAGGCTGCTTCTTCACACATTGAAACAGAATAAGTAGCAAAGAAGACAATAAAATCTGTGTTGTTAACTGTGCAGGAAAACAAAAGGTATATTCATGAGACAGCAGATAGCTCCTCCCAAGTTTCTAAAATTTCTGAATACACAATAATTAAACCCTATAGAAGCCATTAAAACACTGTAAGAATGGCCACATACCTTAGCAACTAACTAAGTGAGATTGGCAGCCCTAAGCATAGATACAGACAAAGGAATAGCTACTTTGCTAAAGGATACTAGGATTGAAGAATATATGTGCTGTGCATCAATGACAGGAAAGAGAGATACCAGTTGTTACTGGTATGCTTTCATACACTGCATCATCAGGGTACCAAGGACAAAGAGGCCTGGAGTGAGCAGTACATGGAACTAGGAGAAAGAGAAAGCCAAGAAAAGGGAATAGAGCAGATGGAACTCTGGCTCATAATGCTCCCTATTTCTGATGCTTACTGGGCCCCACCATCCCATCCACACACTGTCTCTACTCACTGTTGATGGGTGGTGGACTCTGATGTTTTTGAAGTTCGTAAAAATAGGCCTAATGGCACTGTGCAAAGGAGATCATTTATGCTTATTCCCTCCCCTTTCCTTAAGAGACACTCATTTCCTCCTAAATTTATAAACAGGATAAAATTTGAAAACCAAAATGCATCCTGGTGGAGGTGGTGCACATCTTTCATACCAGCACTCAGAGAGGCAAAGGCAGGCAGACCTCTGAGTTTGAGGTCAGAGCAAGTTTCAGGACAGCCAGGGCTTCACAGAGAAACCCTGTCTCAAAAAGACAAAAATCAAACAAATAAAAATGCCTCACATATGTGATGGATTGCAAGCCTTTTACTATTTATAATGTTATGCTGGAAGACAAAACTTTGCCTACTTTAATGTTTTAATACAAATCCTGGCAGTTGCTGTCACTAGTAAAGGAGATACAGTGGTGAAAGAATATCTTGCAAAAAGCTGGATTCTGTCATCTGTAGACAACCACCCACTTCAAGCCTACAAAAACATTTACAAGACCAAGACTTTTGAAAGTTAGAAGATACCTAGTGAGGGATATTGGTGATTCATGTATATCCTTACTTGAAATAGGAGCAGAAACTTCCTACCTCAAACTTTGAACAAAAGTTTCAAGATCATTCAGGGTTCCTAGAACCTGATACCATCATAGATTCTTAATTATATAAATCATTGCAGAAGAAAAAATAATTGCAGAGAAATTGAGAGATTGGCTAGCCAGCTACTTTGCCATATGAATGAAGAACAGTTGGAAGGAGCATGGACTCTGCATTTGGGAGTCCCCCCGCTCCTTCCCCCGCAAAGGATGTATGTGTTCTTTTCAACACACAGCAAAGGCTAGAGAGGAGATAGAGCTATTATAGTGCTACCATAGATCTAGGTTGTGGTGGCCTTATGTAACAGCAAGGAGATTTTTGTAGAGACAACGTGAAAATATATTACTAGAAGCGCTAAAGCTAAGAATCAAAAGTGATAATTTCTGGCATATATATATATATATATATATATATATATATATATATATATATATATATATATGTTCCCATATAGACATACACATTTTTTTAGTTTTTCAAGACAGGGTTTCTCTGTAGCCTTGGAGAATGTCCTGGAACTCACTCAGTAGACCAGGTTGGCCTTGAGCTCACAGAGGTCTGCCTGCCTCTTGCCTCCTGAGTGCTGGGATTAGAGGTGTGTGCCACCACCTCCTGGCCAAGCACACACATTTTTGAGACAGAATTTTGTCATTGTTTTGAGGCAAGATTTCATTATACTGTCCAGGCAGGCCACAGACTCTTTATGTGGCCCAGTCTAGCCTCAAGTTCTCAATGATTCTATTTCAGTCTCTCAGGTACTAAGATTGCATGTGTCACATCATACCCAGTTATGTTTTACTCTTTCTGTATGTTTTGAGATATGGCCTTCCTAAGTAGTTATGGCTACCTGAAATTCACTGTGTAGACCAAGCTTAACCTCAAACTCAGAGATCCTATTGCCTCTGCCTTCAAAGTATTAGAATTATTGGTGTGCATCATATATCTCCCTTGTAATTGCTCATCTCAAAAGAACAAAATATTGTATCTGTGAATATCTGAAAATGCTACGTAAGAGAATATCAACTTTAAATCAACTAATGGACTAGAAAATACCCATATTAGTTACACACATATTTATCATGCAAGAATCTAACCACTTCTCAATAATTATCTACCTTCATTGAATGGAAACTTTCATGACTAGAGTTGTCATAGTTTTCACCTTTTAAGAGCAAGTAAAAAAGTCATGAGAAATATCCTAGATATGGGCAAAAGACCAGAAAAGAACAACTTCTAAGAAGTATGTTTAAATAGGCAGTAGAAATGAAAGATGGTTATTGCATCCTTTAAAATCTGTTCAGCCAGCACATTTGCTACACTGGCAACAATGCTAACCTATCTGTGAAAATGAGTTCTGGAGTTGTAGATAAAAGCAGTAAGGAATGTAATTTTAGGTAACTTTGTCAAGCATTTTTTCAACTCAGAGACACTGCCGATGTTACTCCCTCTGCCAAGAAAACTCTACCCTCAGATATCTGACTGGCTTGTCCTTCAATTTTTTTCAGGCATTTCTACTTTAAATCCTCTGACTTCTCCAGTAAGAATGTTAGTTTCAAAAGGACCTTGATTTCATTCTATTTTTCACAGTGTTGTAATTTCTAACACATAAGAAGCACCAGGAATATGGTAGACAATAATTTTGAGTTAATAAGCACAAATTTATAAATACCCATGCAGACAATAAAGATGATGATTCATTTTTTCCAGTGCAATAAGATTCTACTGATATATTTAGCTGGTTGTCTCCTGATTTATCTCACATAAATAAAATTGATGCACAAGTAGTTGTATATACATGAAATAATCTAGAAATAAGGCAAAGGAATATTGGAGTATACCTATCATATATTATGTACTTACTTATTTTCTAAATATGTCTGGAAATAGGACCGGAAGATGCTAGTTTTTAAAAAAACTATGTGTATGGGTGTTGGTGTGCACTATGTTCATGGAGTGCCTAAGGATGCCAGAAGATGATGCAGAAGCACCTGCAATTGGCGTGACATATATTTGTGAGCTGCCATGTGGGTGCTGGGAAGCAAATCCAGGTATTCTAGAAGAGCAGTCAGTGCTGTTAACTACTTAATTACCCCCAAGATGTTATCTTGTTATTCTTAATAATAAGCTGGCTAATGAACATGAAAGCATAATTTGAAAAATCTTGTGATAGCTATTCTTCTTAGGTTGAGAATGCTGTAAGTGACTCGAGCTTGACATGGCCTCTTGCATTCAGTAGTGATGCCAGAAACTTGGGTAGGATAAAATGAGAAGTTTGGGAGGAAGATCTAGTCACTTCAATCTATATCAGCAATGTCATAGTAGACAGAATAGTCCTAAATGGGAGAAGTCTGTCATTTGCTAACTGCGACTATTTCTCTGGTAGAAACAAAACACATGTTAACTAAATGCCACTCAGTTTTTCTCCTGAATTCATGATCATGAGTTGCTTTTTACGGGCTTAATTACAGTCAGCTGGCTGATTTCTGGCTTTTAAACTGTGAGCATGTGGAGAACTGTCTTTTCAGGGCTGCTGTCAGGGCCAGCTGAGCAGCCTCAGGTTTATACCTGAGAGGGGGAGTGTGGAAAGGAAGGCCAGCTATAGACAGTAAAGGAAAGACAGAGACACCGGATAGTGTTAGGAGGGCAGATTCAGTTAATACCGAATTACCACGAGTTTATTTTTCACCATTCTTATATACCTTAACCAAAAGAGGGAACATGGTACCACGTATATAGAGCAAACAGACTCTTTTCTCTAAGGGTTCAGTAACCACACCTGAGATTCAACTTCTTGTTCCCTGGCCTTGAGGGTCAGCAGTAACCATACCTCACACCAGGTCTGTTGTTATTTAGATAAGACAGCCAAGGCCAAGATCCAACATTCTACTGTAGCCACACCTTTGACCTTTAAGTCTTATGACTTGCTGAGGACAGTTTTGAACTCTCTGTCCTTGAGCCAAGATGGAGTGCAGCCATCTTATAGGCACCTACACAAGCAAAATCAGTACCAATTTCTTATCTCCCACATGAAACTCCATCATAGTCTTCCAGAAGCACTTTTTCTTCCTAGATTGTGTATAATCACCAAACAAAATCTTGCTAGTTGGATGTTAAAAATGATAGGCCTTCTTGCCCCTTTTGGTCATTAAAGGATTGTATGGAGAATATCCCATCTTTTCCTATCTGCATTGAACAAAATAATATCCGAGTCATAATTATAATTTCATTTCATTAAATCTCTAAGATTGCAAAAAGTTTTAGAGAAGTTAGCTTCCTTTGACATGTACTTATTAATAGCAAAGAAATGAAATGGGTAGATTGACCACTGATTTCTTGTTTGATTTAGGTGATTGAAAACTACTAGTTATGGAAAACAAAGGCCAGGTTTGAGTCACTATTTGTTGGTGTAGATTCTCTCTCAAATTTTAATTTCAATATTATGCTCCAAGTCCTTTCATGAAGGAGCTGACTATAACACAAAAATCAAGTACTGTGAATGTTTTTCCCATGCTGATAACTGTTGTGCCCAAGTTGCAAAGATCCCCAGAGATCACCAGGAAGACAGATCCACCAAACTGCAAAAGCAAGGTTTTATTGTTCATCCAACCATGACAGGAACCTTGGCCAGCAAGCTCATCAGCCTACAGAGGGAGTGACATTCCCTGTCGACTGCTAGGTTTTGGTTTTATAGACAAAAGTTACAGGATTACATCAGTAGGTATGGGTTGGTTTTTGATTGGTTGACATTTGGGAACAATTAAGAGAATTTCTCAAAGTCATATTTTGCCATGAAATACCTGTGTATCAATTATTCTCATTGGTCGTTGCTGAGAAGGAACATTATGTCGTTTCTATATCTTTTTCTTGTAACTTGCAGATGGCCTGTTGTTCATAGATACCAATAGTTTTCAGAACTGTATTCTGGAGACTACAGGGGAAGTTTTGATTTCCCCTGGAGTTTCTTTTGTAGCCAACAGTTCTCAGGAACCAAGTATGTAGGAGGCTAAGGTGGGAGGTCTGGAGTTTCTTTGTGTCTTGTGCTTAGTCAGAGGCCTACATGTCCTTTCTGTATCCTGTCATGACTGCCAAAGCAGGGGGCTGAGTGAGGGTCTGGTTCCTTTATTTCTAAATTATTAGAAGTGAAGCCTTTGAGTTTAGTTTACCCCTTTCAATAGTTAAATGTTATGGGCCCCCAAATGACAAATGCAAAATCTGAGTCTCAGAAAATTACCCAAGAGCATACACCTAGAAACATACCTGGGAATCTAGCTTATATTCTTAGCTCTTAGATAAGACTGCATTGTATAATTTTTGATATATCATGCTCACACTCTGCCATACATAAGTTGGGATTCTTTCATTAACATCTCTTAATACAATGAGATGTTGGAAATTAATGTCTAGTTCTAGGAAATGCAGTAGTTGACTGATCCTCAAATCAGCGTAATACAGGACGAGAAGACAATCTGTCGAATAGCTCAGCTTTTCTTTTTGTTTGGTATGCGTGTGGGATCTGGGTTTGGATGTGTATATGTTGTGTATGCATGTCAATGTGCTGGTGAGCATTCACCCAGATGAGTACACAAAAATAGACAGGTAGACCAATGGAATCGAATTGAAAACCCTGAGATTAATCCACAAACCTATGAACAACTGATACTCGACAAAGAAGCTAAAATTATACAATGGAAAAAAAATAGCATCTTCAACAAATGGTGCTGGCATAACTGGATATTGGCGTGTAGAAGACTGAAGATAGATCCATGTCTATTTCCATGCACAAAACTTAAGTCTAAATGGATCAAAGACCTCAAAATAAATCCATCCACACTGAACCTGTTAGAAGAGAAAGTAGGAGGTACTCTTTGAACAAATTGGTACAGGAGACTGCTTCCTGAACATAACACCAGTAGCACAAACACTGAGATCAACAATTAATAAATGGTACCTCCTGAAACTAAGAAGCTTCTGTAAGGCAAAGGACACAGTCAGCAAGACAAAAAGGCACCCCACAGATCAGGAAAAGATATTCACTAACCCCACATTTGACAGAGGGCTGATCTCCAAAATTCACAAAGAACTCAAGAAGCAAGTCTCCAAAACACCAAAGGATCCGATTAAAAAGTGGGGGACTGAACTAAATAGAGAATTCTCAATAGAGGGGTCTAAAATGGCTGAGAGACACTTGAGAAAGTGCTCAACATCCTTAGCCATTAGGGAAATGCAAATCAAAGCAACTCTGAGATATCATCTTACTCCTTTCAGTGTAGGCTAAAATCAAAAACACCAATCATAGTTTGTGCTGGAGAGGATGTGGAGAAAGTGGAACACTCCTTCACTGCTGGTGGGAGTGCCAACTCATACAGCCACTACGGAAATAAGTATGGAGATTCCTCAGGAAAATGGGACTTAGTCTACCACAAGACAGAGCAATTCCATCCACTCTTAGGCATATACCCAAAAGACTCCCATTCACACAACAAAGATGTCTGTTACACTATGTTCATAGCAGCGTTATATGTAATAGCTAGATCCTGGAAACAACCTAGATGCCCCACAACTGAATAGTGGATAGAGAAAATGTGGTACATTTACACAATGGAGTACTACTCAGCGGAAAAAGACAATGGAATCTTGAAATTTGCAGGCAAATGGATGGCACTAGAGAGAAACATCCTGAGTGAGGTTACCCGGTCACAAAAAGACAAACATGGTATGTACTCACTCATATATGGATTTTAGATATGGATCAGGGGAGTGTCAGCCTACAATCCAGGGCCAGTGATTCTGGGAAACAGGGAGGTTCCCAAGAGATATTTGCATGATACCCCAGAGAAGTGGAATGAGGCAAGATATCCTGAGTAGATTGGGAACATCGGGGGAGGGGAGAGGGACCCAGGAAAGAGAGGGGGATAAGAGGAGGGGAGAAGGCATGGGGGAACAGGAAGGTTGAGTCGAGGTAAGACTAGAGGAGAGCAGGATGAGAGATACCATAATAGATGTTTGAGGAGAGAGCTGACAGTAGTGCAATTTCCAGAGATCTACAAGGATAAAACCATCTGCCAAACTAAGCAATAGTGGAGAGACTACCTTAATAGCCCTTCCTTGATGATAAGGTTGATGACTGCCCTATATGCCATCCTAGAACCTTCATCCAGTGACTGATGGAATCAGAGACAGCTAAACACTCAACTGAACTCCCGGAACCCAGTGACAGAGATGGAGGAGTGATGAGCAAAGGGGTCAATACCATGATGGTGAAACCCACAAAGACAACTGACTGGATAAGGGGGAGCTCTTGAATCTCAGACTGATGGCTGAGAGGCCAACAGGGGACTGATCCAGACTCCATAAATGTAGTATCAGTGAGGAAGCCACAGAAATCTCTGGGGCCTTGGGTAGTAGATTAGTCTTTACCATGGTGTATGAATGATCTTTGGGAGCCCATTCCAAATAGAGGGATACTCTCTCAGCCTGGACACATGGGGAAGGGCCTAGGTCCTGCCCTGGATGAAATGACAGACTTTGGAGATGCCCCCCCAAGGAGGGCCTCACCCTCCCTGGGAAATGATGTGGGGATTGGGTGGGGGGTTGGGGGGGCTGGTGGAGGTATAAGGGAGGAGGGGTGGGAGAGGGAGCTGGGATTGACATGTGAAGCATTCATGTTTCTAATTTAAATAAAAACATATATTAAGGGGAAAAATCCCAAGAAATTTTAATAGTAGAACAAAGTAACTGAAAATTTTCTCCACTCCTATAAGCCTCTCGAAGACGCAGCAATGCAAATCAGACCAAATCCAACTGAATTAGAAAACGCTCACGTTTAATGGATGCAACGCTCCTGCATGGCCTTCCAGCCCCCCAGAGAGGAGACTGGAAAGAGAGTCCAGAAAACCACAGGTCTGTTTTCTGAGTGGAGTTTAAATACCCTGTGGGAGTAACCTTGAGCATCTCTGGGGGGAGGGGTCATCATTTGTCGAACTTTCTGAGATGCAGTATGGTTTGGAGAGTGATACGAGAGGGGGCTTGGGTGGAACTTCCACCATAACATCCCAGACTCTTTGGGTGTATGGATGCCAGGGCTGGAGTGGAGCTTCCACCATAACAGTAACTAAACTTTTCCTGCCCAATCTTAAGAGTTGCTATAACGCTACAATAATTAAGTTAGGCAGTACAGAGAGATGTCGCCACATATAAACACTGGATTTTTGACAAATGTGTGCACTCAATGGAAAAAGAAAAGTCTTTCCAACAAATGATGCTGTATCATTTTGGATAGCCACATGTGGCAAAATTAACAACAGACTTTACAATAAATCATACACAAAAACAATCTTGAAACAGTCATACACTAAATGAAAGCCTACTAGTATAAAACTATAAGAAGAAAATAATTATATAGGGAAAAATGAAACCAGACAAAATGAGTTTTGTAAACATGGAAAACTCCTGAGCCAGGGATATAGCTTAATTGGTAGAGTGTTTGCCTAGCATGCAAGAAGCCCTGGAGTCTTAGGGATTCTATTGCTGTGATGAACATCATGACCATGGCAGCACTTATAAAGGAAAAACATTTAATTGGGTCTGGCTTATAGTTTCAGAGGTTTAGTCCATTGCCATCATGATGCTAAGCAGGGAGACATGGTGTTGAAGAAGTAGCCAAGAGTTCTACATCTGGACCCACAGGCATCAGGAAGAAAGATTGCCACATTGGGTCTGGCCTAGGTATCTGGGACTGAAAGCCTGCCTGCCCCCAGTGACATACCTTCTCCAATAGCATCACACTTACTCCAATAAGGCCATTTCTCCCAGTAGTTCCAGTCTCTATGAGCCTATCGGGACCATTTTCTTTCAAACCACCTCATTCCACCCCATGGCCCCCAAAGACTTGAAGCCATAAAATAATGCAAAACTGCATTCAATCCAACTTTAAAAGTCTCCATAGTCTATCACAGTCTTAGCACTGTTTAAAAATCCAAAGTTCAGTCTCTTCTGAGATTCATGCAATCTCTTAACTGTAGTCCCTATGAAACCAAAATCAAAATCAAAATCAAAAAGCAGATCGCACCTGGGATTGAGTCTCGGCATTGAATAAACTGATATAATGGCACACTCCTTTCAAGGCAAGCGAATCAGAATTTGAAGGCCATTCTTGGGTACATTACAAGTCTGGAATTAATGAGAACCTGGCTCAAATTTAAAACAAAACAAAAACTAGTAAACCAAACAAAAATTGGGACTGGAAGACGACTGAGTGATTCAAGTGCTTCTTCCTTCACAAGCAAGAGGCCCACGGGATTTCAGCTCTCTAGTACCCACAGAAATGCCCAGGTACTCCGACAGCCCACTTGTAATTCAGCCTCAGAAAGTGCCAATAGAGGATCTAGCTAGCAAGCTGACTAGCAAGAAAAGCCATATTGGTGAGATCTGGGTTTGATTGAGAGGCTCCCTTAAAAGAACAAGGTAGAAGAGTAATCAATGAAGATCCCTGATATCAGCCTTGCACTTCTACATGCACAGTCCCACACTTACACTCATACATGCATGTGCACTCACACACATATGAACATACATTACCACAGATGCACACACACAAAAGAAGAAACAGCAAAAAAAATACAAAGGAACAACAACAAGCAAATCTAAACTAAACCAACCAAACAAAAAGCAGAGCAGTGAAAATATAAAACTATTGCCCTTTAAATGAGACCAGTAAGTAAATAAAGGGAAAAGTAAGCCTGAGAGAAAATTAATAACATATACATCAGACAAAGTATTTGAATCAAGTTTAAAATTAACTCTTGTCACTCAGTAATAGTAAAATAAATTATCCAAAAAGAAGTAAGGAAAATTTGATTGTGTCTTGGTGAGAAAGCACTTGTCCAGACTGTATGATAGTTTTTGACTCTCCTCCCAATAATAGGAAAGTAAGCAAGGTATTTGAACAGTTATTCCACAAAAGAAGCCAATATACATGGTTAATTAGATATTAGCTATATTTAAAATATGATATTTTAGTCACCAGAACAATTAATATATATATATTATTTAGATTGGTTAAATAAATAATAAAAAAGTAATTTGATCACATTAAGCATGTGTGAACATGTGGAGAAATTGCAATTTTCCTCCTCTTCTGATTGGATTATAAAGTGGTAATGCTACCTAGGAGAACAGGTTTTAAAAAACTAAACAGGCAATGTCTTTATAATGTAGTCATTTTATTTCTATGCATTTGTCCACAAAAATGCAAAGATAAGTATGTAAAAATTGTGCATGTTTATGTAAACCTTATTTGTAAGACACAAAAATTTTAAAAGTACTTCAATGCTTATCAACACATGAATGGGTAAAAATATTTGCCATATCATGGGACACTATTCTGGAACAGAAAAATACATATTATCAGATTCATTATCATTATTTGTGATGAAGGATGCTTTATGACAGAATTTATAAAAAGTACTACAAAACATATTTATTATCATCACCCAGAAGGTAGGATTTCAACCCAAATTTTTGTGAGGACACAAGCACTGCTTTAAATATTCCTTCAAAGATCTCTCCATTTTCTGTAATTTTCCGATGGCAGTAAGTGTTGCTTGAATTGACTGTCATCTTGATAGGATCTAGGAGAAAGACCTCCTTGCAAGTCTTTAACAGGCCTTTTAGACTAGTTGGATCAATGTGAGAAAACCCATTCAGAATGCCAAACTTAAAAGAGTTGAGAGTAAGATGAGTATCAGCATCTGTCACTCTCTGTTTTTTCCTGATGGCAAACAGAGTATCACTGTCTCAAGGTCCCGCCACCATGACTACCTGACTCTACCCTTGAAGTAATAGTCAAAATAAATCCTTCCTTTCTTCCTTTTTTCTGTTGGTTTTATCAGGCATTTTGTTACAGCAACAAGACATATACTAATACAACTGCTTTGTTACATAGGCATGATTCTCCTGTTTCGGAAGATTTCATCACACATTCCTCTCATTGATTACTGGGCGATTTATCTCAAGTCTTACTCCACAACATAAAAGCATGCACATTTTTTAAGAAACCCAAATCTACAAAATGAACACATAAAAGATGGATAAGGATGAATTTGATGATCTTTTGTTGCATTTTTATTGGTTTCATAAATTATCTATGTTCTTCTTTTCAAAGACTTTCTACAGACAGTTGATGCTATCTATTTGACACTTTAAAAAGACAGAAGAGGCTGGGCGCTGGTGCCTCAGACCTTTAATCCCAGCACTCAGGAGGCAGAAGCAGGCGGATCTCTGTGAGTTCGAAGCCAGCCTCATCTACAGAGTGAGTTCCAGGACAGCCTCCAATGCCACAGAGAAACTGTGTCTCAAAAAACAAAACAACAAGCAAACAAAACAAAACAAAAGACAGACTACAGCACCAACCAATATTAAAGAATTTTGACCCTCAGATAAGATGTATAAATTAATGGAACTATTCACTGGGATAATCCAGTTTTCTGATCTGGCTTTTCTTAACTTTTTCCCCCCAGGAAATCCTGTCCTCCACTTTTGCAGAAACCTCTAGAAAAAAACTTTCCTTTAAGTTTAAACAATGACATCATGGTCCCTGAACTTTGTTTTAAACACCAAACAAAGTACCAGGAAATGGGTTATTATTTTTTTTGTGTGATATTGTGGGGTGAATAAATGGTCCCACAAGTGTTAAATTAGTACTCTACCACAGAGATACACACCTCCAGCCCTAGATGGAACTTTCATCTAGCTCAAAACCAAGAGCACAGTGGACCTATTTCACGACTTTTACCGCTCTGAGAACATTATGTTCTTATCCCATTAAAGGGACAAGGTTCTTTTAAGTACTGAACAAACCATATTTTGAATCCAAACGTTTTTTTTCTTCCATAATCTCTGCACTCATCCCTTGCCTTTTTCACAACCCTGATGAAGGGGCTTCTGTTTTCCTTCTCTGGATGGAATCATGTTCTGATTCCTCCCACATTCTTAGCTTTAAAAAAAGAACAGGTTAAGTGGGAGTTTGCTGATTGCTGATTGTTTGGACAGGCTCAAGTACTGTTTTCAAAAGTACTAAAGAAACATTTATGAACCTCAATCTGCAAGCCTTTGTTAATTGTCCATAGCTTATCATTGTGCATTTTCTGACCAGACTACTATCTTTTTTCTCTTGGCAAATGACAGGTGATTACAGTGCATGATCATTAATTCACATCTATTGGCAATAAATATAGGCTGTAAAAATTTCCAAACAATATTCTATGTAGCTACTGGAGTGAGAAGACAAGACCCCTTAACTGGCAGTTGATAAGACGAAGGCTGTGGACACAACCCTTCCACAAACTGGTTCTGAGGCTGTAAGTAAATCATTTTCCTGTCCAGTTCCCTTATCTGTGAAATCAAAGTTTGAACAGATTAAACATCCCTCAAAGACCTGAAGCACAGAGCAACCAATTGAACATCCCAGGCAAAGGCTTTTTGAATAGGACATCAACAGTCCAGAAGTAATACAAATGGGGCTGAATTAAATAACTTTCTGTGGTGTAAAAAGAAACAACAGAGTCCAGAGAAAACCAAGTAGGAAGTATTTGCAAGCTATTCATGTAACAGGACATTAATATCCAGAACATATAAAGAGCTAAAAACCAAGTTGCTGGGTTTGGCAGCACAGTCCTGTAACACCTGGTACTTATGAGGCTGAAGTGGGAGGATTCTGAGTTCAAGCCTTATTTGGGGTGCAGAGTGAATTCAGTGCCACCCTGGGCAGCTTACTGATAACCTGTCTCAAAAGTAAAAATAGAACGAGGTGTGGAGACCAAGCTTTGCAGTAAAACACTTGTGCAGCTGTCCCCCAGTGTTCTCCATCTCTCTCTCTCTCTCTCTCTCTCTCTCTCTCTCTCTCTCTCTCTCTCTCTCTCTCTCTCTCTCTCTCTCTCCCTCTCTCTCTCAATAAAAAAGAAACAAAAAATAAAGTAGAAGTTTTATTATCTTATTATTTGTGGTAAAGAATGAAAGGAGGGAAGGGATGAGAGATAAGCTTGTGTGATGTACATGTGTGAAGTTCATTATTTGTGTAAGAAATATACACTAGAATTCTTTGAAGTGCTGGGGAGTGAAGTCAAGGACTCATGCATGCTTGAAAATGCTATATTCTCAGCCCTTAGAAATACATCTGAAGGGGCTGGGAAAACAGTAGTTATGAGCACTTGCAGAGTTTGCAGAAGACCTGAGTTTAATTTCCAGCACCTACATGTGGCTCAGGACCATGTGAAAACTTCTTTTAACAAGTACCAGGAACATACGCAGTGCACATATATGTATGCAGGCAAAAAGCTCACACATATTTAAGAAATAAAAAGAAACACGTTTAAGGGTTATTTTTCTGCCGATGAAATTGTTTGCCCAAACAATTCTTTGCACTAATGGGGGACAGAGTTCATTTTTTGATGTTGGAAGTTAACCCCAGGGCTTTGCACATACCAGGCAGAAGAGTTCTACCACTAGATAAACCTCAAACATCCAGACTCTGATTTTAACTCCTTTTTATGATGTATAAACATTTTCCCCATGAGCTATAATGGGTGGTAATTCGTACCTTGAATAATACTGGACTGAAGAGTCTTTTAAGAGTTTATTAAAAACATTAAAACATTACCTCCTTCCTTCCTGTCTTCTCTCCAACCCTTCCTTCCACCCATGCCCCTCCTTCCCAAATTGATAGACTCTTTTTGGTTATTACTATTATTTTTTGTCTCAGTGTTCTATTAAAGTGTCTGTTGCATATGTAAGCGGAGAAATGTAACTTCACTTCTGTTATAATTCTTTGAATTTCCTCAGCTTGTGTCAGTTAAAAATTAAATATTCTGCAGTTCAAAGAGAGGGAGCCATACAAAATGTTCCAGGCTAAATTCACCTGGTAATACCTACAGCATAAAGATAGCCTGGAGAGGTAGCTTCTCTCAATTCCAGGGTTCTCATGGACAAAGGGGAGATATCAGACTGTATAGGTTTTTGTAAGGAAAAAAGTGAGATCTTAGATGTTAAAAGTGTTGATAAGGGCTGGGGACATTGGTGGCTCACACCTTTAATCCCAGCACTCCAGAGGCAGAGGCAGGCGGATCTCTGTGAGTTCAAGGCCAGTCTGGCCTACTGAGGGAGTTCTAGGACAGCCTCCAAAGTAATACAGAGAAAAACAAAAAAAAGCACTGATAAAGGTAAAGAACTAACAGTAGATCATTCAAGATGGATATTTCCCTCAGCCATACTTGGACTCACACAGCGACTACCCTCCAGTTTGTCATAACCCCTTCTATTACTGTATGGATGTAAGGCCTCGTACTTTTAAAATATTGTTCCTAATAAATTAGATATTCATCCTGCATTTGTCTATGCTTAATCTATGATATATACACAACAATAGCACTTTGGAGTACCTCAAAATTACCAAGGGATCTTGTTAGAATGGAGGTTTTGGAAGTCTCCATACATTATGAGTGTGGAGAAGGGCCAGAGGTCTCATATTTAAAACACTTTCCTAAGGTGTTTTCATAAAGAGACTAGACTCACATCCTTTGAAAATCACTAGACATACATTGTTAGAATATTAGATAATGAATCAAATGTATGGCTGTTCCTTACTGATTAACTGAGAACATGAAAAAAGGGAATTGCCAGTGACAACAGATTTGAGTCCAAGTAGCTGGAAGAGTTAAGACCCTATGATGGAAATGTAAGGACAGGGTAAAAGAACATGGCTGAGCATATACTGCCTTTTAAATTGCTTTATTAATTTCAAATCATGAAAAAGATTTCTTCTTAAAATTTATTAAATTGTCATGCTGATAGGAATGTATAGAATTAAATGCAACAATCAAACTGCAAACACCAAAGTTTGCAGAAAAAGTGCCTCACTAAATACAAGCTTGTAAAACACTAGCCACTTTCTGAGCTCAGAGAAAAGCTTGCATTTTAAGGTATGAGGCAAAAGTCGTAGTGATTATCAGGTTCTGGTGTTTGGAGACGCCCATAAGGCCTCATCTGCTGCTCCTTAGTCTTTCTCTTGCTTTCCATCACCTGCCCTACAAACTTTCCAACACCCTCTCCCGCTTCATTGTGATTAACATGTCTATTTGGTATGGCCCATAGAAAGTTAGGCACAAGTCGCCTGACTCGTCCCCTTCTGACATTTCCTCCAGGCTTCTTGTTTTCAACCTTGTCCAAGCTGTGGGATTCTTCTTCACTTTGCTGGGAGGCCTTCCTTGCCTCATCCTTTTCGTCATTCTTCACAGCGACATTTTTCATGACTTGTTGCTCTTTGGACGCCATTACTCCTAGGAAAGAAGATGGATAGGATCGATTTCTTCATAGACTGCTCAATCAAGACATAGAACAGAGAGAGGCACAGGCCTGGGCCTGAACCCCTCCCACCCCAAAGTATATCATTTCCTCTGTGAACCCTTTTCTAAGATCCTACAGGTGCAAAATATAGCAGCCGGGAATGGGCGAAGAAGACAGATGTAGAGGAAACAGCTGGGCTCTAGGATGTCCGACCCAGTTTTGCACAAGTCCCAGTTCCCCTTCTCGAGCCTCCAGCCCTGTCCCAGTACCCACCTGGGCCTCTCCTCGCCTTCTCCTCCTCCAGGACACGCTCGCTCAGCACCAGGTGCGCTGCGAAGCTGGCCTCCTGGGACCTGCGAACAAACCAGGCAGGAGGGTGGTGGGTGGCTGGGATGATTAGAGAGAGGGAGGGAGGGAAGGAGAGGGAGGACCCGCGGCCGCGCTGCCCTGGGTGCCCCCGCCCAGGCTCTTCCCGCCGCCACAGCCGCCCCCGCCCCAGCGACCACCCCTGGGCACCCGGGATGCAGGAGAGCGGGGGTGGAGTGGGGTGGGGTGGGGCTGGGGGGCTGTGGGAAGCTGTCGCCGGGCTCATGCTCCTTCTCCCTGAGGGTCTCCCCCGGGCCCGCCCCCGGCCGCGCCGCCGTGCACACGGGGACAGGGACGGCCACCTGCTGCCTCGGCCTGCGCTGCGACAGCCGGGCTGGGGGCCGCCGCACCCGACGACCACGACGACGCCGCCGATGGGCTCCGCAGCCCGGGCGCTGCCTCCCTCACCTGCTCCGCCCTGCTTTCCGCGCTGCCCGGGCCCGCGCTCTGCGCCACCAGGAGCTGCGCCACCAGGAACAGGTGCCTCGGCCAGGGATGGCGGGCAGGAGGGAGTGAGCCAGGGCAGGTCGGTCCCCAGACCCAGAGAGGGGTGTGAGCCTGCGTGGGCTAGTCACGTGAGACCCGCATCGCAAGCCAAAGCTCCGCCCCCGGCCCCTCCCCCGCCCTGAGTGTCTTTTCAGGGAAAGCCCAGGTCCCCTCCTCATCCCAGGTCCCTATGACATCTCCAGCCCGGGCCCTGTCACTCTGAGGTGCAGGCGTTTCTTGTCTGACAGGGAAGAGCGGTGTGCTCGCAAGGGGCTGTTATCCATCCCCAGATCTCTGGGAGATTGATTTTCCCTCTCTTCTGTTTTCAGAGGGTCACTCTTGTGTGCCCTCTGCTTCAAAACCTGGATTTTTGTCTCAGAATTCAAATGGAGGTAAAGGCTGGTAGGATAGCTCAGTGGTTAAAGTGTAAACTTGTGTAAACACAGAACACGTGTAAATGTCTTGTGGGAAGAAGCCTGTAATTCCAACTTCAGAAGGCAGAGAGGGAGCCCACAGAGCAAGTTTCCTAGCCGGAATGTATGGGAGCTCCGGCTTTGACTAAGACGTCCTTCCAGAATGAATACTGTAGAAGACCAATGGAAGATGATTTGCACAGGCATGAGGGGACCCCGCCCCCAATGTGTCAACGTGCAAAGACTAAGCACACCACGCACATAAGAAGTGAAGGACAATAATTTAAATGGAAGCAAAGACAATAGTAAAAAATTAATGCAATATTTAAAAAAATAAAATCGGCACAGAAGTATTTATGAGCAAGATGTCAAAAACTTAAACACAAACATCGGCTTCACACATTCCACTTCAAATTGTAGTTCTTTCTGCCACCATACAGAAATTCGGTAGGCAATCAGAAATTAAATGAAGGTGGATTTTAAAATTTTTTCCTTTTCCTTTCTTTCTTTTTTTCCCCCCCAAGACCTAATTTTTCTTAATACTTAGTGTGAACTCACTCTGTAGACCAGACTGACCTCAAGCTCACCGAAATCCATTTGCTTCTGCCTACCAAGTACAGGGATTAAAAGTGTGTGCCACCAACACCTGGCAATAGAGTTTATTTTTACATTAACTTTATTTTGATTTTCTACTATGGCAAATTGCCAGTATATTAAAAGTATAGAAGGATAGTGTGGAAACAAGGACTCGTTGCCTAGCTTCTACAGTTAAACCTTGGCCATTATTTTTCCTTTTTTTTCTTTCTTTCTTTTTTGTTTTGTTTTGTTTTTGAGTCAGGGTTTCTCTGTGTAGCTTTGGAGCCTAGCCTGTACTTGCTCTGCAAACCAGGTTGGCCTTGTCACAGAGATCCGCCTGCCTCTGTCTCCCGAGTGCTGCAATTCTTCGTAAATCCTGGCTATTAGCCCCTTGTCTGCAGTGTTGCTTCAGTCTGTCAATGAAGCTTCCTTCTGAGCTTCTTATTTGACATATTGAACTTTCTAATTTCCTGTATCATTTCAATTTGGCTTTTCTTAAGTATTTCTATTTCCTTATTGAACTTACTATTCTTATTTTTGCTTTACTTAGCCATCTCTATTCTCTTGGAATTCAGTTAGGAATTTATTTGGGTTCTCTGTGAACTGTTTAGATATTTATATTCATTCTTGTGAGATATTTATTTTGAATTTCATCTAAGGCCGTGTCATAATTTGTTGTTACTCTGAGATTGGTAAGTTTTTGGAGGACACATGGTGTCTTGGGTTTTAATATTATTTGTAATTTTGTTATTGTTTTTTTGTGATAGGTTTTCTGTGTGAGGTCTTGGCTGTCCTGGAGCTCACTCTGTAGACCAGGTAGGCCTTGAACAGAGATGCCATGCTTCTGCCTCCCAAGTACTGGAATTAAAGGCGTGCACTACCACTTTCTGATTTATTTATGATTTTTGTGTTAGAATTTACACATCTAGAAAAGTTTGTTGGTTGAGTTATCTTAATTCTTTCTTTAGTAGAGGTGTCTGTAATATTCAGTTGTCATAGGGTTGAGGTCTCATTTTCCAATGTTAGACTGATAAATATGGTGGATTACACAGTGGATTTGAGGTCAGCCTGGTTTGCATAGTAGGACCCTGACTCAAGAAGGAAGAGAAAATGAAGAGGAGGAGGAGTATTATTGGTAGTCAGGATCGTAGTCTTGCATTTCTTCAAACAGTTAAACAGGGAGTTCCCGCGTGTCTCATCAATTATAGTATGTACAGATCTGTCCTACCTTGCTTTCTGTTATATTGATAAAACATTATGACCAAAACAACTCGGGGGAAAGAAGGGTTAATTTCAGTTTACATGTCCAGGTAATGGTCTACTACCAAGAGATGTCAGGGAAGGAACTCAAATCAGAGATCTGGAGCAGAAATCATGAAGGAAAACGTCTTACTGGCTTGCTACTTGGTTCATGTTCTAGCTTTATTATACAGTCCATGCCCATCTGTCTAGCAATGGTGCCACCCACAGTGGGCTTGGTCATATCAATCACCCGTTAAAACAGTCTCTCAAAATCTTGACCACAGACCAAAACTGATCTGAGAAATTCTTCATTTGGGGTTTCCTCTTCAAGGGTTACTTAAATCAGCAATAAAAACCAACTGGGACAATACCCAAAATAAACAAAAAGACACATCTGCATAAAAATGTGTACATAGGTATCTGTACCATCATCATTCATAACACTAGAAACAACCCATGTGTTTGCCATTAAATGCATGGTTACATAAGACACAATGTAATCTTCACAATTTGTGGGATGAAGTACTGGTATGCTTGAACAGGGATGAGCAGGTGAACTAAAAGAGACCAGATGCAAAAAATTAGATGCTGTGAGCTAGGATGTAGCTCACCTGACAGACTGTTTGCCCAAGCCCTGGGTTTGATTTTGAGCACCTACTAATCTGGGAATAGTGGTGTATATCTGCAATTGCAGTACTTACTATGTGAAGGCAGGAGGATCAGGAGTTCAAGGGCATCTACAAGTAGAACTTCCACACCTTCCAACTGAAGCAGTGACATTGGAGTCTTTTACAGAATCTGGGACCATCCATCTTTGTCTTCAATGTCCAAATGGCAGTACCTTTTTTAGTGTCAGTATGACAGTATCAACCTCAGGGTAAAGAGGTGGATCCCCTTAGATCAGCAGTATTGCTTGCACAAATTCTCCTTCAGGGCAAAGTGGGGAATGCTGGTAAAGCTCTAGTCAAAAGAATTACCATTCTCGGCATTCTCTTCCTCCTTTTCATGGATCATATTGGGAAAGGAATCCAAACAGGATACAAAACCATGAAAGGGAAGAAGGAAGCAGAGGGAGTCGTCACCAGAACCCCACCCCCAGCCACCACACATTCTCTCACACAGAGACACACCTACAACAGACAGGCTCTTTAGAAGATTAGAATTTTCTAAGTCAGTTTGTTGGGCACAAACAGGGCACACACATCTCATTTTTCAAATGCTCGCATGATCTTGGTCCTAAAATGTTCCCTTTAGCAGTATACACAGCTTGAAAATGCCACTGATATAAGGTTTATAACAGCAAATGTCAGAATACACCAAACAACATAGCGTTCTTAAAATTTACTTCCATAGGTGAGGTACAAACATGTTGTAATGAAAACAAGGATGCAAGACTATTTCTTCAACATCAGATGATCAGTCACTCCAAACGTATGATGAAATAAGTGCATTCACAGAGCAACGTTGTGAAAATAGGTAAGAGTGTTTTGAGTTAACAGAAATGCACATATATCCAAATATATGTGTGAGTCAGTAGCGGGGTATTACAGATACTGTTATTTGTCACACAGAACCAGTAAAGAAACTAAATTTTTGTCACTAATATACTAATAAGTAAATTTTAGAACCTCTGCACAGTGAAATACTCAACCAGCAAAAATATAATGTGATATTTTCTTGAAAATCATTTTCCCAGAAAATTATTTTACTTATTACTTTTATTTTTAATTTTTCTCTCATACATTACACCCTGACCAAAGTTCCCCCTCCCTCCACTCCTCCCACTCCTTTCCCCAACCTGCCCCCTCCCTCAGATCTATGCTTCCTCTATTTTCCTTTAAAAAAGGGGCAGGCGTCCCAGGGATATTCACCCAACGTGGCCTATCAAGTTACAAGAAGACAATCACAAACCATTATATCAAGGCTGGTAGAGGCAACACAGTAGGAGGAAAAGGGTGCCAGGTTCAGGCAAGAGTCAGAGACATCCCCCAGTCTCACTGTTGGGAGTCTCACAGGAACAGCAAGATATACAACCATAAGGTATGTGCAGAGGACCTTCCACAGTCCCATACAGGGTCTGTGTCTGTCCATTCAGTTTCTGTGAGTCCCTATGCACCCTCCTTAGTTGATTCTGTGGGCCTTGTTTTTGTGGTATCCTCTACTCCTCCTTCTGTGGGTTTCTTGGCTCCACCTAATGTTTGGCTGTGGGACTCTGTGTCTATTCCCATCAGTTTCTGGATGATGCCCCTCTGATGACAATTAGACTAGGCACTGATCTGTAAGTATAGCAGAATATCATTAGGAATCATTTGACTTTTTTGAGAATTAGTTTAAAATGTTGTAGAAAGTATTGCTCTAGACGTGTACAATAGTGTATCCCAGTATCCAGGGAGGGATCCAATGCAGCCTGTGCTGCATAATGAATACCAGACCAATGTAGGCTACACAGACAGACTCTGCCAGGAGACCGGGAGGGGAAAGGAGAAAAGCAGACAGGAGGAGGAAGAGGGGCGGGGTGGGATGGGAGGAGAGAAGGGTGGCAAAAGGGGGAGGGGAGTGTGGGATTGAGGAGAGAAGAGAAATCAAAGAGAGGAGAAGGAGAGGCAAGGGAAAACAGTAAGGCAGTATTTATCCAGGAACTTCAAAGCATACAACATTTCATTTCATGTAAAGCTTTCTCTTTATGATTGCTTCTCTCCTTCATTCCACTAAGGGAGTTTCCAAGCAGCGATGTCTCTTGCTTCTCTGCTCTGTTCCTCTCCAGCAAAAGAAGGTCTCATCCAAACCTCATTCGAGAGATTTATTGGGAGGGAGGAAT